ATTTCATAAACAAAATAAATTCAAATTTATATAATAATAATAATAATATATATATAAAGTTATTTTCGGATGTCATCTAATAATGTTATATGAAATGAAATATTTTTTTTTCTATATCTATAATATATATTGTAAATTGTATATACATTTTCATATTATATACAAAAAAACATTTATTTTTGGTTAGCTATTTATATATACAGTATATTAGATGACATATTAATTTTTATTAATTTATATATTTATCTATATATATATATATAGAAATAACAATAAAAATTAGTTTATTTTAAGTCTACTAGTTATATATGATATATAATTGTTGTCAACTAAATGTTTTATGTTGTCTTAAAAATTAGTAATACTTATACAATAAAACATATATATATATATATTTCTATTTTAAAATTAGATAATAAATAAAATAATAATATAAATAAATCTTTTATTATTATTGACAATCAATTTAAATTAACAGTACATTATAACAAAAATAAAACTTTTTAGAAAGTTTTATACATTTATTTAAAGTTAGTTTTTATTCATCAACAAAAAAAATAAAATAATTTAATATATTATCAAACTATCAATTTTATTCTCATCTCAAAAAAAATGTAAATCATTAGACAGAAAAAAAATTATCATAAAAAAAGATTTTTGAAAAATAAAATATTTATTTTTATTCAATCATCGATACATTGCTTATTCAAATGTATTCAGTGATTAAAATTCAGATGTTTTTGATATGAATTTAATTTTTTTTTTGAGCAAAATATTATTTTTTTGTTGGGTTTTTTTTTGTTGATACATATATAATATATATTATCATTTTGTGTGTGTGTGTATGTAATGATGATAAGCAAAAAAAAATAACAACTTAACTAAATCATTTGCAAATAAATTGGTTATATATTATTATTATAGATATTATCATTACACATTTATAAAATTTTTTATAATAATAATAATATTTTACATAAAATTTATATAAAATGTAATATTGAGATATATATTTGAAATAATAGCGATGACATAAACGGATAGTATAGTAGACACATATAGTTTAGTGTATAGTCTCCACTCCATAAAGATTGCAATGTCTATATGTATATATGTTTATGTATGTGTGTGTATGTATGTGTATGTGTGTGTGTGTGTGTGTGTATGTGTGTGTGTGTGTGTGTGTGTGTGTGTGTGTATGTGTGTGTGTATGTGTGTGTATGTGTGTGTGTATATATATGTGTGTATGTATTTGTATGTATGTATGTGCGCACAGACACACACAGAGTAGACTACCGTCTCTTTGGTAGAGAGAGAGAGAGAGAGAGAGAGAGAGAGAGAGAGAGAGAGACGTTGTCTCTTTGTTATCGACGCAACTGTTTCTAAATTTCTATATATATTTTAGTTTTACTGTTATATATATTTGTATAGTAATAATAGTTTAACACAACACTAACAACAACAACAATAACTACAACAATATTAACAGCAATGAGTGAAAGATTTTCGCATGAATTTCATGAATCTTAAAGAAATAGTTTATTATATAAAAAAAATATAATAAAGAATATTCTTTATTATATTATTTATGAAACGTTGTGTAAAATTCAATGAAAAAAAAAGTTTGCCAACAAAATAATAACTAATAAGAAAAACTTTACAAATTATAATTATTATATATATATTTTGTTCACAAAAAAATAAATAAATAATAATTCAATGATTTTCTAATAAAAAATATATATAATAAATATAAAATAATTATTTTCAAGTTTTCATGTATTTTATTCAATAAATTTTTCATAATTTATTTTAACATAAAGTTTTCTATTATTATTATTATTAGTGTTGTTTTGTTGTCATCTAATTAACTATTAGTTATGTTTTAATTGCTATAATAAATTTTTGTAATAACATTACACTGTGTGTATATGTATGTGTATATACAGTATATTGTTTAATAAAAATTATTTTATAAATTATTGTTATCATCAATAATATAAAAAAAGTTTCTGTATTCAAGTGTTTTATACTATAAAATGTTATTTTTATGTAAATAATATGTAATTATTAGCATATATTTATAGTACGTAATATACAGTGAATACATAAACATTATAGTAAAAGTAAGTATTGCTAAATAAATTGCTAAAAAATTGTAATAAAATTAATAGTTGTATATAAACTTGAATATTTTCAATTATATATAATATATATATAAATTTTATGATTATTATATAATATAAATAATATATATATATATATATAATTTTATTTGTATTTAGTATAAAAATTTTGTTTCAAAAAAAATATATATAAGTATCACTTATATATAAACTCATATACTATAAGAGCTTAGCAAATATGTGATGATTTTATTTGGGAGGAGATCTCAATATAATATAATATTATATTATATAATACTACTAATAATAATAATACTTAAAGATTAGGTGTATTTAATTTGCACGTTTAGCACATATAATAATAATAAAAACATATAATATATATACCAGTACTAACTCAATACTAATAAAATATAAGTTAATATTTAATACATGTATAATACATGTATTTTTTGTTTCAATATATATTTTTTTTATTGGGAGTATTTTTCTAGTTTAATATTGGTTTTAATAATTTCCATTGAAATATGTCTAAATAAGTCATTATAAATATATATTTAATATCTCTTATAATTTTTTTTGATATATATAAGTTATATTAGATTTAATTAAATAAATCAAATGCTGCTTATTTAAACAAATAAACAAAAAATAAATTAATAAATAAATAATTTGTTTATATAAACCTATCAATAATCTATACAATAATCATAAAAAACATTTTTAAATAGTTAATACCAGTATTTACAGTAAACTTTTTTATTATGCAAAAAAATTAGTTTATTCAGCAATTAGTTTTGTTATGTAAAATAAATATTTATGATTTATTTATTTAAACTAGTATTATATTATTTAGATTTTTTCTTGAATAATTTATTTAACAAAAATTAAAAATTAATTTATCTATTTAGCCTATAAATTGTTTTTTACTTGATTTATATATTTACAGTTTAAACAGTTATACATTAAATATTAATCTTATAATTTTATTATAATATATTTAGTAGATTTAAAACATTTTAAATATTAAAAAATGATTAATTTTATTATTGCTTATATATATAGATTATTTTTAAATCTTAATAAATAATTAATTGTTTAAAATCATAATGTTTAAAATGTATTATTTAATATAAAAATTTCCTATTTTTTTATCTCAAGATTTTTAAATTTTTAAATATATATATACAGTATATATATAAATTGTTTAATATTATTATAAATTACTAACTATTATACTGTAGTTTAAATATAGTTTACAATTAAAATTGTTTGTTATTTTTTTAATTCATTAAAACTATAATATTATTCACAAACATTTCAAAATTTATGACTAATTTATATTGTTTTATATATTAGTGTATAACATATCTCAGAAACAATTGTTACATTATTATAATTAAAAATAAATTAATAATTTTAATTATATATATTATTATTATTATATATTATTTAACTAAAAATTTTTAGCACATTATTCAATAACAATGTGTTTTATATAATGATGAAAATTAAATAATGAATAAATTTTTCAACAAAAATAAAATGAAATAAATATAATAACAATAATAGTAATAATCATATTTTATTATTATTTGTCTATTGTTATCACTTATTATGTGCTATTAATTTATGTTTTATTTGAAAATATTATAATACAATACAATATCTTATAGTTATATCATATTATTTGTCACAATAATAATGATATTTCTTAATAATAATAATAAATAATAAACATTTATGAAAATCACATTTTTATATACATATCCCAATCATATACAATATATTATATAATTTTTTTTATCACTTATTATAATAATATCCTTTATTATTATCAGTAAATGATTACTATTTTTTTAATATATATATTATTATTAAATATTTTTATATATTATTATTATTATTATATTATGATTATTTGGAAATTGTGTGTCGCAATACATTGTATTGTATTTTTATTTTTTTTTTGCTTAAATTAATTATTTAAAAAAATCAAATATAAGACTATATTATTATTATTAATAATAATATATGTATTTTTGCAGTATATTTGCCAGTTTTGACACAAATTAAAAATGAAATCTTAGATTTTGTATTTTTGAAATTTTTATTTAAATAAAAGTTTTCTTTTTTTTATTGTGAATAACAATATTATTATTTTTTTAATAATGTCTTTAACTATAGACACATAAAAAGTTATATTAAATATAATAATACATTTAGTAAAATATAATTTTTATTATTATATTAGATTTGTTTTTGTAGAAATATATTTGTTTTTAATAATAAAAAAATCAAAATACAATTTTTCTATCATTAATTTTGTTTTTCAAAGTAAGATTATATTATTATTATATAAAACTTAAAATGTTTTTAATAAAAATCAAAAAAATAATTTAAGCATATTTTGTTAAAAGCATATTTTAACATAATCAATATATTTACAATATATTTATGTATAATAATTTTTAATATAAATTGAATTTATTTAGTATTAAAAAAACAATAGTATTTATAGTATAAAATGTTAATTTATTAATAATGATTATTATTTTTTTTWAAAGAAAAACTCTAATATTTTAAAAATATATTATATATAATAGTTTAAAAAAAACAATATTTAAATTTTCAATTAAGTAAATGAAAAAAATATATTTACAGTACATTTACTGATCGATTGGATTAAAAAAAAATATATTTTTTTTAGTTATTATACAGTATTTATTTATCTAATAATGTTTTTTTAAATTAATTTGTTTACAATTATTATTATTTTTATGGTGGGAACAGATCCGGTGATTGACTGACTGACTGACCATTGAATACAAACTAAAACAAAATGATTGACAATATATACGGTCGTAGAGAGGATCAGATTCAACGACTGGATGCAGAAAAACTTAAATGTGAACAAACAGTCAATAAAACTTTTCAACACATTGAAGGTAATAATACAATTATTATTATTATTATTAGCAAAAAAAATATTAGCAAAAATACATTACAATTTGGCGATAAAATAAAACAATAGTAGAATATAATATGTTTGTACTGTATGTATATATGAATGTGTGTGTGTGTGTATGTATGTGTGTTTATATGTGTGTTGTGTGTGTATGTATATATGTATGTATGAATATGTGTATGTATGTATGTGTGTGTGTGTGTGTGTGTGTGTGTATATGTATGTGTGTTGTGTGTGTATGTATGTATGTATGTGTGTGTGTATGTATGTATGTGTATGAATGTGTATATATATATCTATGGTTTTTTCTGCCCTAACATTAATGATAATCACATTCAACAATAACTACAACAAAAACAACAACAAAATGCTATTAGAGTTTAATGTTTAGTGCAAATTGCCGGAAATATACCTTAATTTTTATAGGATATATATATATATAGTGTATATATAGATTTATATACTCTTAAAAAAACTTGTAACAATTTTTTTTATTGTTATATAAGTTTTTTTTAAATACAATATAACAAAATAACAATCGATTTTACTATATTTAGAAACTTGAAGCACCTGTATATGTCAACAGGTATTATCAAATATTATATATTATTAAATATGATGTTAAAAATGTATTATATATCCTATTAATCAATAAATTTCAGGCACTCATGTAATTATACAGTTTGTCAATGAAAACATGTTATTAAAAAAAATGTTGTTTTTTTAATATAGAATATTTGATATTAAATACTTGTATTTAATTTGGAAATCAAATTATATATTTTTTATATAATAATAATTTTCTATTTAATTTTTTTTAAAATTTGTTTTTTGATATACTCTTACAAATAATTGTAACAAAATAAATAAAAAGAGAAAATGAGAAATGTGTTGACAATTATATGTAATATTTTAACATAAATTTTTAGGCGTAATATAAAAGTTCAATTTTATTATATATTTTAAAATAATATATAATTTTTTTATTTGATTATAAATGTAGTGAAAAAATTAATATATTCATAAATCAAATTTACTTATTGTTATAAATACAGTATAAACATAATAATAATATTGTATTTTGATTATTAACATTATTTGTGCTTGAATAATTTCAAAATTTTTATTTATTTTTTTATAAAAAAAAATATTTTTCTCTATTAGCTAACTAATATTTATTTAAGCTAATTGAAAATTGAAACTATTAATAGTAATTGAAACCAACAAATAAAATCAAACAAACAAAAAATCAGTTAATATTGTTTTTAGTTTAGTTAATTGTGTTGTTAATAGACATTTAATTATTATTATTATTATTATTAGTATTATTTTAAACATTAGTTATATGTGTTTGTTTGTTGGAAATGATAGGATTTTTTTGTTTTGTTTGTTTGTTTGTATGTATATTACTATTAATTTTCTTATATATGATAATAGCATTTACGTGTGTGTGTGTGTGTCACACAAATAAAAAAAAACATTGTATCCGATAATTATTTGAATGGGAATTGAATTCAAAGTAAATGATGAGACATTAGACAGTGTATTGCAATGAAGTGTCATTAGAGTAAAGAGAGAGAGAGAGAGAGAGAGAGAGAGAGAGAGAGAGAGAGAGACTATTTTGAGATAAATATTTAGAGAGAGAGAAAAAAAAGCATTGAAAACAATAATTTGCTAAACAATAGCCAACATTGAGATAAAGTAAAAACACAAAACAACAACAAATAAAAATAGAAATAAGAAAAATACAATTTTACTTAATATTATTGTTTGTGTGTGTATTATATATATATATACAGAGGAAAAAAATATTTTCTCAATTTCTATGTTAACACTGATCTATGTGTTGTGTATATCTGTGTCTAATAGTGTTATATATTATGGGTGTAAACAACAAAAGTTTTAAATTTAAACATTACTTTCACACGAGTTATTTGCAAAACATTTTAATAATTTTTTTTTATTATTATTATAAATATTATTACATACTATACATAACAACAATGTGTGTATTAAAATGGGGCTAATTATTGATTTTCTTGAATAATAATAATAATACTTAAGTTAAGTTTTAAGTTAAGATAAAAGTTTAAGACATACACAAAACAAAAAGGATTAAAATATCAATTTTTATATTAATACTTAATATTTTTATATTATATTTTGACATTTTCTATATTATAAGAAAATAATAGATTTAATTAAAAGATAACAAAAAAGTTAATTAAAACTTATTTTAAAGAATAATAATGTCATGATTTGAATTATTATTATTATATTTAGTTTGAAACTATATGTTTGAATGATATTTAAGTATATTGTGTTGAATATACATGTATTTGATGTATTGGCTGAAAGAGATATCTTTGAGTAGCCAATGGGCAACAAAAATAGTTTTAAGTTTTTATGACCCGACTGTCAACAGTGAGAAACTGTTGTGAGTTTATGGGGCACCGATAGTACAGTTGGAGAGCACAGTCACTCTTGGATTGGCGACCAAACTGTATAGTTATATACCATTTGTATCAATAGATAACAAATCTATTGACTATTACTTTTCAATATATCCAACCAATAAACATATTTTATTAAAACTAAAATATAGTTAATTATTAAGTGACTTCAATAAAGTACCTAGTTCACATAATAATATCCTGACAAATATTAAATAAAACCTAACATTTTGGTGTCACAACCGTGGGATTGAAGCACTTGGAGGACAAGTTGGAGGACATTGAGAAGAGAGAGAGAGAAGCGAGACGACCGATAACTGGACTATCATATCGGTATAACAATTGATATTTTGAGGTTTGGTATCATTTTATTTGTGTCTGAGAGTCATATCAATGAATTGTTTGCGCGTTGATATCATTGTGGTTAACATAACTTTATAAATTTGGGAAAAGTATGGCAGATGAGGTAGATCCAAATGTAGGTAATGGGGTACCGGAAATAAATTTAACACAGATGAGCAATGCAATCGCATCAAATTTAGTTAGTTCACGTCAGCATCACATACCAGTATTCAATGGGACTAGAGATGAGGATCCTATTAGATTTTTGCGCACATTTGAGAGAGTCGCCCGTGCATTGACATGGAGTGACAGTGCAATGATGGCAAAATTTCCCAACTATTTAGCTAATAGTGCTGAGGAATGGTATTATTTAAATGTTGATTGTGCTGTTGATGAGGCCGATCATGAGGATGATGACGATGATGAGTGTGTGAAACCCAATACATTTGTTGAACTAAAAGATTCATTTTTAAATCACTTTTTACGCGGTGATTATAAAGCATATTTAATGAGGGAATTATCTAAGAGAAAATATACAGGAACTGAAAGTATATTAAATTATATAACTAGTGTCAAAATTATATGCCATGATATAGATTCAGATATGAGTACTGAACAGAAATTGCAATACATATTGCAGGGAATGGACGATGAAACAGCCGCTCAGATAACATATTTTAGTCCTAAAACAGTTAAGGAATTAGAGAAGATTGCCCGGAATATAGAGCAGGGGAGGGAATTATTGCAAAAGTCTAGAACCGATACTAATAAAAATAAAAAAGTAAATGCTGTTCGAGTTGATAATCAAGAGAAAAAAGTTGATAATTCAAATGACAGTATGTTAAGTGCTATAAATAAATTAAATGAAACATTGAATGCTATGAGTGTAACTAAACAAAATAGTAATAACAATAGTTATGGTTATAATTACAGTAATAAAACTGTTGGTAATGAGAATAAATTTGATAGAAATAAAAATTATCATTTCAATAAAAATAAGTATAAAATGAATGGGCAAATGAATAGTCAGTACAACAATCAATATAATCGTAATAAAAATTTCAATTATAAATTTAATGGTAATTGTTTTCATTGTGGAAAAAAGGGACACAGAAAAACTGATTGTCGATCACTACAGCAAACAAATAGAGAGTCAAACAATGACAAACAAATTGAATCAATTAAAAATGATAAAACTGATAATCAATTAGTTAATACAGTAAACAAAAATATTGTTAAGAGAACTAATAATTTAATCTCAATAAATGTTGAAATTAATGGTAAACTGTATAATGGATTAATTGATTCTGGTAGTGAAGTGACTATTGTTAAAAAAGTTATATGCGATGAGCTAGGTCTCAAACCTATGCCTTATAAAGGTCCTAAAGTAACTGCTGTTACTGCTGATGAATTGAAACTTTTTGGTACAGTTGATATCAATATGATTATTAAGGGTATAACAACAAAAATATTCAATATTAATATGTGTGCACTTGTTGTTGATATATTGCCCGCCGATATATTGATAGGTATGGATCTCATGGAAAAATACGGTATAGATATAGACTGCAAAAATAAATTGGTTAAAATTAATGAGACTATAATAAGTACAGTAGTATTGTCTATATTTGATTCAAATGACAAAATTATATGTCAAAGCGATTCAATGCAAAATTGTAGCAAAAATATCACTAAAAAAGTTTTAGATATTAATGATTCCGTAAAAACACTGATAAACAAAAATATTGAAATTGATACAGAAATTGATGGTAAAAATAAAACTGTACAGGGTAATGTACATGTTTGCTATAATGTTAATGTAAATCCAAATACTGTACAAATAATTGATTGCAAACTAAGCAATAAAAATAACTTTTTAAACAAAAATGTTTTATTTTACACAAATGATATACAGTATGATAAACACAACATAGCTATTAGAAATGCTATTAGAGTTCCCAAATACCAGACACTCCCAGTTCAGGTGCTGAACGCAACAAACAAAGTAATAAAACTAAATGAGGGATCAGTTATTGGATGTATTGAAACAGTACCAGAAAAACATATCATACCAATGCATGACTTATTGGATGACAATACAACTGAAAAACATTTTGAAAATAGTTATACAGTAAATGCCGCGAATATAAACTATACCGATAATAGCAAAAACAATATCAAAGAG